GTACCAATATCGGCCCTCGACCTTGGCGAAAGTGTAGTCATTGTCAACGAGGGGGTTCTGCCAAAAATTGTGGTTCACTGGATGAGTCGGCGACGAGGCGCGGGTGTGGTTGTCTTCATCTTCGTGCTCGGGACGCTGGTCGTCATTGTGCTGGTGTGGGTGCTGGTTGTACTGAGTTTGCTGGCGTGCAGGCTGCCGCCGCTCATCAGCATGCCTTGTGAGCCTGTCGAGCTGCCGCCGGGGACTTGGGGGGCGATAGCTCGAGGATGCTGCATAGATTAGACCATGTTGATACTTCAATCACAAGACATCCCCAACATGTGCTCAGGATCAGGCAATGCTGGAACGTACCATGGCGTTGAGGTGGTACATAATGGTCAGTGTAAGATGTCCGACTAGGACTCTCACTCAAATGAGTTGAGATAGTCCTTGCTGCAGGGCTGGTCGTAGGAACTTGGCTCGGCGTCGGCAATTGGCCGTTTCTACTTTGCAAGTCTCGGAGGTAGCTGTCGAGAGAACCATAGTAAGTTCCAGGATCCATAACACCAGGACGGGCGAGACTGAGCGACAAAAAGAGCAAGAGGCAAAGAAACGCAAATGGATGCGTCGAGCAAATACTAACCTCTCCGACACGGACACCCGTTTGGCTTCTGGTGCAAACTGGCAGATCTTTTTCGTGCGGGTACATCGGGCGCAAGGTTCGGTGCCGGAGCACTTAACCTTCATCAATCGGCATCGCTCGCAGCTGTAAATGATGGCATCATCAGTTCCGCTCGGTGATCCGTGGGGTTATGGATCGATCAACACGGTTTTGCGACGATTGGCCGGAATCCGTGTCATGAACTCAAGCCTTAAAACTTGAGTCTCCAACTCGAGTCGAGGCAGGACTCGAAGACAGGATATGGTACCAATGGGAGAGAACCGAACTCACGCCTGTAAAACCTTCTTAGTCACTTTATGCTGCTCCTGATGCAGAATTGGCATTTTTGCTGGGCTCGGCTCGTGCCAGGCCTCGTTCCTTTTTTTTCCCTCTTGTCTTCGCTGCAGAGTCGGAGTTCGGGATGGGTGGCACGTTGTCGGAGGGCCGAATGGGGAACCGCTTCCAGTGCAAAATGTGACAGGTCGGGGTGGGCTTCCGACTCTTTATTATGGTCGGTGTCGGTCTACGAGGGGTCTCGTTCGGGAGGCATGGAACCAAATGACAGATCCATTTGTTCATGGCGACACGCCTTCTGAGTCTGACTCGGTCGCGCTCGGTCTACCCCGCATCCATCGTGATGTGTGCACAATGCGCTGGCTGCCGCGTGCGTCTTTCACTGGGGATGTTCGACCTGGTAACGCCTTTTCCCATTCCGAGCATCGGAGAGCTTATCTGTCGGAGGCTTGCGCCGAGTCTGTCGAGCTGGGCCACCCTATCTAGGTCAAGGTAGGGGTCTACTGCTTTAGCTCAATGAAGTGAGGCGGCAGTTCTTTTTTTTTTTTTTTTTGCTTGACAGCTGACCCTCTCGCATGTCATAGAAATGCATCCATGACTGTTTTCTAGAACAATGCATGGTGGGCGTCGAGCACGCCCCGACGAATTACCCCGGACGCTTTACTCCTTGAATTAGATTACCCGCTATCATCGAGGTGCTGTTAGGTGATAAAATGTAGATCAGACTTCCCGGAACCCCCACCCCCACCTAGACTTCCCATTCCTTCAGCTATTTCGGCGTAGTTCTGGTCTGCCGATACGAATATTTGGTCTGCCAAAGTTCCTGCTGTCTTCTACGAAGGACCACTCCATCCGCATTTCCCCTTTTTCTCACAGAGCTGTGGTCACCATATGGCCTGACAATACCGCCAGCAGCGTCGCTATTCGTGCACCCACGCGCTGAAGTCTCTCCTGCTCAGGACCACAGCCTAGAAATGGAGATCACAATCGAACTGATGAATAAATGGCATCACGGCAATGGAGCTGGCAGAATGGTCGTCACTTTAACATCACCTGTTGCAAAAACTTCCAACGAATGAGCACTAAGTCTGGATGTTTGGCGGCCAAGACGTGGCCAATGATGACAATCTGGGGGGCGCCTCTAACAGGACGACGTACGCCGAATCGCTGTGACACCATGACTTTAACCCGACTGCTCCGAAATCTAGGCGCAAATGCACCGAAAATTGGAAGCACAGGAATAGAAAATGTCGCCGAGGTTACAAGCGATGGGACCATCATGATTCGCAATAACTAATGGTGTTCATTAGTGCGATGCAAGATGGCAGGTCACGATATGACTAGCCGCGTACATTGCATCTGAGCCATAAAATAAGGTGGAAGAAGTCTGTCCTGCGGGACTTGCCGAAAACAATATTCTTTGCTTTCGTTTTGTACCGCAAGACATGATGACTGTGTTCTTCTTCATGAGATCGAACATCGTGCTGAATCACATCCTCTTTCCAGCTTGCCCTAGAGGTTGGCATAAACCTGGCTTTCAAGCTTCGCGATAATTGAGACGATCCTTCTGAATTTGACTGGGAGGCCGTTAAAAGCTGTCTCGTAAAAGATTCGGATCGTGGCCTAGCTATGTGAGTTTACTGAACCTGTGTAAAGAGAAAGGCCCAGGTGAGCCCGGATGTGACAAATGCGCTGAAGCGAGCAGTTGGCCGCCAACTTGGAACTTCCTTCAGAAAAATAGACGTTTTGCATGAAATAGAGCCTCTCCCATGAAAAGGTTGCCTCCAAGAACTGGGGGGCATTCAATGTTGACCGATGGGAAGACTAGATACTTCACGCAAGCAGCAACACGTAGGGCACACAATGGGAGTCAAGCTGCATTACTCCTTCGAAGAAGAGCTCTCCAATTCGATCTTTCATATCCAAATTGGAGTGCTTTTCATGCGGCCAGAGAAGTAGGTCCTCGTTTCTCCATGATCAGAAACATCAAACTTTCTGTCCAACGCCTTCTCTCACGCATTTCGCCTCTGACGACTGTACCTAGCACGGCCGACTATTAGGCTGGATATCAGGGCCAAATGACGGCAAAGTGGTCTCGCACATATGCTAGGGATCCCTCGCCAATGGTGAAAACGATGAAGACGGGGTCCGGGGTTTCATCGGTTCTATTTACAAGTAGTAGTACATCCATTCTCGCATGATTATGGTTCCGGCTCCGAGCATTAGGATGAGAAGACGTTCGACTAGCAAGAATTGTTCTTTGAATGCTTTTGACTAAAAGCTTTGCCTATACTTCTTGGACAACTGGGATCATGATGGAGGTTCACAACATGATGCATGGGAATAAAGGTGAGGCCTTACATCTCGAGTCACCACAGTTGTCTGTTTTTGACGCGTAGACCGATAATCCAGGCCCTAGAGACGCCGGATGTATGGGCTTTTAATTGAGAGAGCGCATGAAATGCTGGCTTATGACGGTGGTGGAACTTGGTATCCGGTCCTTATCTTCAAAGTCTCTCAGAGTAAGCCGCGATGAACCATTGCAAATGTCGCAAGACTCGCGGGTGGCATATTCAAGAAACCAAAATTGTGTGATACGTAGAAAACTAGGTAAAAAAAAATGGTTGACTGGTTTTATTGCCAAGTATCGACGCTCACCTGGTTGGTTGCCAGGAGTACAGCAAGACTAGCAACATTGCTTTCCAAGCAATTCCCAATCTCACCCGGCGCATCTGGAGCTCTCGGTTGCATACATGAATCGTCCAAGGAAGAAGTCATGCATGCGTGCATACTCGTATCATCCTGAAAAGATCTCTGGTGACATTAGCACGTTTGCTTGTGTCAATGGAGGGATGGCAATATCAGCTCGTTGAGAAATCCTTTCCAAAGGTATACGGTGGATCTTATTCCACATCTCGAGAGCCCATGGAAGGGGAGTAAGCCTGCGTAAAAGGCGGATGGGGCTGGCTTGATTGCGCAGCCGCTTTCCCCTTGCTATCGAATAGCAAGCGTATTCCCGAGTTTTGCTACAGCTGACAGATAGCTGGTCCTTAGATATAGACAAGACGTCATGCTTTCTTCTTATGAATATGGGACTTAAGGATGGAAGTAAGGATGACTTACCATATAATTTTTTTGAGATCAGTGAATAGTTCCGATAGTTTGGCATTGAGAACATAAAAAATGGGTGCTCCTTGAAACCCCCGGTGATTGCTGTAGGCATAAGCTCGCGACCAGACTTTTTGAATAATGGTTGGAGCCCAAACCTAATTCTTTGACTTGAGGATCATGTATAGAATTCTTCATAGGATGCAATTTGAACTGGCTTTGTAAGTCTTATTTTGAGACGGGGACGAGAGTTATGTCTTTGGAAGCATGAAGAACGACAGAGGGCTATTGCCAGGACCCTCGCTCAACAATAGTAAAACTGGGGGATATTAGCTGTTGGGCAAGGGATTACAATGCAGAAGGGAGGACTGAGCTATACGAGGGACTACATTATGTATAAGAAGGCTCACCGCTACATAGGTAGTCTGAGAAGAAGGGTATCGGTTATTCTACTTGATCAGAGACCTCCAAGAGACCAACAGTTATTATCCTTCACTCGTCGCAAGAACTCCTTGACAGGTGTCAACCCCCCCCCCTTGTTTCTATCTGATGTTCTGACATTACACGACCTGCCAGAGCGTGCTTTGAGCGGAGTGAAAAGGTCTTCCACACTAGTTCCGCAGGCAATAGGTATAGGGGTAGAACACACCTGAGTTTTGGCTCTGCGCAGTCCTCATACACACGTTCTCGTAGTTCTTGGCCCCTAACCTGCCCCTTGTTCCGTGACTCCGCGCGGGCCTCCTGATACAATACAATCGCCTGCAAGAAATCTCGTGGTTGTATCTTCATCCTCACCTGCAAGTTGGGTGATCGATTAGAGTTCCGTCTCCTGGAGTTGCAGGATGAATTACGAGAGAAGAATAGCGAAGCAACCTGTCTTTATAAATGAAACTGCAGAATAAAGCCTCCCCATAGCGCTGGCCCAAGCCTTTGACCACAAGGTTGCCCTGTCGGCTATTTATCTCTGATCTCGATACTCCAGTCGTCGCTTGACCTCTCCAACAGCCTCCCTGAAGAGCAGCATGGCATAGAAGTTGTGCAGAGGGGCCATGAAGTCAGGCATTGGGAGCTTGCCACCATTCGGGTTGCAGCTGATGTGTGCGTATCTGACACGGGCTTTTTCAGGGTGTCCTTTGGTTCTGAGGATACTGAATTGATGGGTGCCGCTAAAGTTACCCTGACTTGAGCCGAACACGAAATCAACACTACTCTCCGTCTCCACTGGATCGGTGGTATTATCCCCTGGGCGGTGGATTTGACTATCGCTTATCTGGAAGGCGCCGAAGAGAATGGTGGTCACGGGCGGCAGCTCGTCACCGGCTAGTTTGCTGACATGCCACACCGGCGATACGGAGGCATTACTCTTGAGACCTGAGCCTTATCAGCAGTGTTGATGTGATGACCGCTCTAGGGTCAGGGTCTCGGGGAGACTAACTGGGATAGTTCAAGAGGTTGAGTTTGGCAATCTTTAGCACGGCCCGCTCAGGGGCAAAGACCATTCCGCCAAAGAAACCCCGGACGAAAGCCGCAAGAAGCACTTGATCGGCCAGATCTCTGGCATATTCCGGGATCGACACGTCCATGTGACGGCAGTCATGTAGCGCCGGATGAACATTCGGGTTGACATGCTGGGTGACGGTAACGGATTGTAGGAAGGACGCGGGATTAACGTCGACTTCAGTGATATTCCGTCGCGGGGCGGCAGAGATTCTCGCGTAGACTTGCAAGATATGTTTGGCTGCGATGATGGTAGGCAAGGCTATTGCTGCCGCCGCAGCAAGCTTTATCGGGGTGGCCTGAGTGCCCATGGATAGAACTGGTGCTATGACTGGTGGGGCGATGTTCATTCGTGGACCTGACAGTACGATGTGTCTTGGATTGGACTGCCATGATATTTATGCGGTGTTCACACCTTGTCCTTTCTTGAAATCTCGCTTGACGACGGATGCCGATTTCTGTCACTTGAGCATAAGAGCCGGGCTCAGCCAGTTCATCGTTCCGGCTTCGCCCGCCGAATCAGCCACAGTCGCCGTAAGAAGACACTTGGCAGTGCTTTTGCAAATGGCAATAGCCAACACAGGCAGAAAAGAGTCATCGCCGTGTGTGTTCGAGTGAGCGGGCATTGAGCGACATTTCGTAAAGGTCCGAAAAATCCTCTTGCAGACCCCATGTTGGAGAGGTCAGGAGACTGAAGGACACATACGCAAGTCGTTCGCCGACCGCCGGACAGACTCGGGACCCACTTGAGGCTGATCGAGTACCTCATGACAGAGAGATTTGACAAGGATCCTGATTGTGCCCTGCTGCTAGAATATGATATCATAGGGCTCGTAAGGTAGTGAGATCAGACGACTGAATGGGGGAATCCTTAGGCTGGAGGCGCGCTCGATGCAGTGCAGCGGCCGGCCGGTAGTTGGGAGGAGGGGAAGGGGGGTGGCCGAGAGCGCTTGAATCATGCCGATTGCCTGGGCGGGCAGTCGCCGTTTGAGAGGGCATCGAGGTGCCGGAGCTAGGACGAATGGAAAAGGTCATTCGCGACACTAAACAGTCGTGATTGAGCGAGGATTCGCAGCGATTGCCGAGTAAGGTATAGCTACCATGGCGTTGGATACGTCGACAAAGGCATGGGAAGAGGGCTAAGACACTGGGGATGGCCTCAGGGAAGAGGAAAGCCAACGGCAGGCCCGTAATTCTGGCTTCCAGTCATACCTGGCGTCCGAGCGCGGTAGAAGCCGCCACCCTTCCTGCTGGGTCAAGAACGATCGACAAAGCTCCTCCTCAGCCTGTCCTTTGCCCCACTCTCCTCGACTCAAGCCTGCCCGGCCAAGCAGACCAAGCACCAGGCGAAGAAGGACCCAAGGGCCCAAAGACCCACAGTGCGACTGACCAGGCAGGTTCGTTCGCTCGTGGCCCTGCACCTCCGCAGGTGTCCGTGTTCCGCAACTTCCACCCTCTCGTTCAGCACCAGCACCAGCACCAGCACCAGCAGCTCCTCCACACCATCTTCCCCAGTGCGTTCCTCCCCGGACGGCTGGCTACCGGACGACCTGCATATCAACCCTGGATCTTCAACGACAACTCTGCGATCGGCACTTCTTTTCTCGTGTACCGTTCGCCGTCAATCACTTCTCATCTTCCTTCGGGCTTGGGCACCAACCAGCACTCGCAGGCTTGGGCTTCCGTGCCGGATGGAACGTTCAGTCACCAACCGCCTCATGTCATGACATTGGTCCCCACGCTGACCCCCTCTCCCGCCATTCTATCCATCCATCATGAGTTTGCCTGTCAAGCATGAGTCCCCCGACTCTGGACGCTCTTTTGATCACGACAAGCCCGTCCTGAAACGCCGTCGGATCACCAAGGCCTGCGACTTCTGCCACCGTCGAGGCCGCAAATGCAAGCTGCCCTCCACCACGAGTCCGGACTCGGCCACCACGGTGACATGCCTGACATGCATCGAACATGGCGCCACTTGCACCTGGGACCGTGTTGCTGCTAAGCGAGGTGTCAAGTCCAAGGGCCCTGAAGTCGTGAGGAAGGCTTCCAGCGTCGCCGACGAGACTTGGATGTACGATGTCGCGAGGCATGGAGAACGAGGGCTCATCGGCGCACTGCTGCGCGTCTTTTTTGATACCGTGTATCCTATGTGAGTTGTGGTTCTCATCTCACAACGTCAAACCTCAGGGGTAATGCTGACAACGGGCCTCAAAGCTTTCCTTTCTTCGCTGAATCGGTTCTTGTCGATGAGTGGGAGCGGACGAGCCTCTCGTCGAGTCGCCCTGCCTTTGCGCGGCTCATGGCCATTTGTGCCCTCAGTTCATGTCATGTTCGCGATGGGGCCGTCTTCAGTCTGCGCATCGCCCCCACCGTCCCTGCGAAGCACCAGCAGTCGTACCTCGAAGATGCGAGGAGGGCCATCCCGAGCGACATTTCAGCCGCTGACAGCTTCCAGTATCTGCAGACCCTCGGCACCCTGTCGTTGGCCGCCATCCAGCTCGGAGACGCTCCTCTTCTCCACGAGACCCTTGGCCTCTATCACACGGTCATGGCCCAGCACAACTTCCAGAACGAGTCACGCTGGCCCTCGAGCATTGACCCAGTCGAGGTCCACGTACGCCGGCAGTTCTTTTGGTCCATGTACCGCCTCGAGGTGCATTCAGCTCTCATAATGGGTCACTCCATCCGTTGTCCGGAAATGCAGGCGGCCGTCGCATATCCGGCTGTCTCGGACGCGCTTGTGGACCCCATCGCTGCCGCCGCCGCATCTAGGGGCGGCTTCCCCTCAGGTGGATGGCTCATCGGGTGGAACTACATTACGGACCTCTACCGCGTGCTCGAGCATGTGATCGTGCGGTTTCGTTCGCGCAAGACCACGCCTGCCGACCGAGGCCATATATACGCCGGATACGGCTTCACTCACATGCCACCTCCGATCGACGATATTCTGTCCGAGGTCTTGACGCAGAGAGACGGCCTGCCAACCTATCTTGCTAGAGCCCAACCGCCGTCGCCCAACACCGAATCGAATCTGTGCGGGTTTCAAGTGGCCAATATTGCTTGCACTATCCAGGTACGCGGACTAGAATCTGCCTAAGCACGACTGTACTAACGACAACAGCTGGTGAGAATGACATCATTCTCCTGCCAAGACGTCACATTTCGAGATGCCTGTCATACAGCTACCCAGTTGATTGAGGAGATGTCACTAACGCCCGTCGATTATCTTCGAGCCATTGGTTCCCCTATGGTAAAGATATACACAACTTTGCCTCGGAGACTAGCTAACATGATTTCAAGTTGCAAGAGCTCGCCGGCGTGGGCCAGATGCTCACGAGCTTTATCGGCCGCCAACTTCATCCCAACGAATACCGTCACCTCAGAGAAGTCATGTAAGAAATCCACCAGTTCCTTGTCAGCCGCTCTTCATCATGCTGACGATGGCCCAGTCGGTCAATGGCCATCTTCCTCGAGAACCTAGGCCCCTCGCTACCTCTGGCTGTTGAGGCTGGCCAGAAGCTCCTGCAGCACATTGGCCGGATCGACGAGTACCTCGAGCGAACGCAACCGCAGGATACGTCCATTCTGAACGAGCCAGAGCTCACACATGCAGCGCATGAACCCCGAGCTGAGATTCCCATTCAGCATTTCGTCGTACCGCACAACTTCACCATTCCCATGGAGTATCTCGATCATATCCCTTGGCCTAGTCCTTTCGGCGCCCTGCCAACAGAGACGGAGTGGACCGGCAATTTCAGTGTGTACAGCGCCACCTAAGGAATGTCCCAGACGACCCTTTGGGTCGTCATCAACTGCAGCATAGTGATCTGGCGAGTGGAGCTTTGCATTCCCATCCAGCACTCAATCACCAGCTTGGACTGATGCCATTCCAACAAGGACAACGACAGAATCAGCTCTTGGCGTAGGTCGCACGAATGCGACTTGTCAAGTGTTCGTGGCTCGTCACAGGTGCGGCGCTGGCGTACCCCTTGCGCTTGAGGACGTCAAGGAACCCTGCATCGACGACAGCGGGCTGTCCCTTGGAAGTGCCCCCGTCTACCCCTATCGGGGCCAACACAACATTGCGGTCAGGCTGGATGAAAACTGGGATGCTCAGTCTTGCCACGTTCTCCTCAGCGCTGCGCGGGAACGCCACCCTGTGGACGGTTGACCGCAGCTGTCCTGCGGTCCAAAACTCCAGGGCGTCGCCAATATTGACGACGATCGCATTGGGCAGACACGGCACATCGATCCATGTCGGCCCAGCCGAGCCATCCTGGCGAAGCACCTGGAGACCGCCTTGATCCGAGGGTTGGCGGAATAACAGAGTTAGCGAGCCATAATCGGAATGTGCGCCCGCACGAATGTCACCGCTGTCGTCATTGACAGCATCTCGTGTCGGCGACTCGCAGGAGACAGCGGGATAGTTGATTAGTCGCATGCGGCAGCTCTCGCCCGTATGAGCCTTGGAAAGATAATCTTGGGGCACCTGGCAGAGAGAGTCATGAATTTCAGGGATTCAAGCATTGGAGGGGACAGGGGCCTGTCACTTACCCCCAGTCCTATAGCCAGGGCTTTCAGGAGTTTCTTGGCCAGTGCATCACAGTCATGAAAGAAGGCGGCCAACTGCTCACGGTGGCGGTCGAGTCGTGGAGGCAGTGGCTGCTGTGACGTGCCGGGGTCTGCGAGATAGAATGATTCCTTGACATCACCGGGTCCTTTCCCCGAGAGCCTCCAATATCCCACAAATGTCAGTTTCGACAGTCTCGCTTGCATGCACGGGCGGAATCTGTCAACGCGAGGCTTACGTTTCTTCCCTCATGCCTGTATAGCCCTGCAGCAAGGGAAAGGGGGGGCTGCTGTCAGCTGAAAACTGTCCCATTCAATTCCAGGGAAACCAAAACGAACCCTCCCCCGAGACGTAGTAGTGAAGTTCCAAGATTCAGAATGATAGTGACATGCAGTGGCAAACTTACCAGATCACCGCTCCCATTCCCATAGGCCAGCTTCTCCTCCGCAGGTGCATCGAAGAAGTGCTGCGCCAGTTTGAAGACATGCGACGCAACGTCGTCACCGAGGTCGTGGCCTACCACGTAGAAGAAGCCCGGGTTCCTTCCCACGCGCATGAGCTCGGCGCCCAGGTCCTCCGCCGAAGCGAAGGACGCCAAGTCGACGATCGGTAGCGCAGCGCCCACGCCCATGGTGACGGGCGTTGCTTTCTCTGGAGGGTGGGAGGAGGGCGTTTGGGTTCGTCCCGTGCGTCGGGGTGACGGGCTGGGCGGGCGGTGGTGGTGGTAGTGATGCAGGCTGCCGGGGTGGTGTTAAAGCGATCGGCAGTGCCTTTGACTGATTGCGAGCGGAGGACGGCAGTTGGCGGTCTTGTTTTCACCCCTGTGTTGAGGGGCGTGTATGTGTGTGCGTCTGTGGTGCTGTTTCTCTGCGATGGTCAAGCAAAACAGGTATTCGACGGGGAAAAGGGGGGGGTTGCTGTTCCCGGTACGGGATGCTCTAAAGGTACACCGAGACGGGCTTGGGTTGGATTGGGATCAGAGGGGGAGGGTGCTGTTGGGGGCACCGTCGACGATCAGACGGGAGGGGGGAAAGGGGCAGCAAGGGAATATTGTTACTTCTCGCGAAAGCGAAGAAAAAGGGGGGAATGCGCTCAGCACCCCATGAGTGCAAAACAGAGTGCGCGTATGCTTCTTTTCTATGTCTACACGATTGATCGCGGCCTGGCCCGACGGGCGATTCCAGATCCCTTCCCTCTTCCGCCAGTCCGTCTGCGACCCCGCGCGCCGTGCCGCGATGAACGCCCCCCTCGTCGATGAGCTGTTTTGCAGTGTTGTTTGAGGGTTTAAGCTGGTAAACGGCTGGTGAAGCGGTTGAATTCGTGCCGCTGGACGTGGGTGGAGGTCACGCATCCGTCGCGAGACAGGTAGGCAGACAGACTCTCTGGGTAATCAAGGCGGGCGGATGCCCGGGAGACAGATGGTGAGCGTGGGCAGCAGTTTGTCAACGCTTGAAGAGGTGAGAGGTCCGCTGGCAGCGGAGAGGAGGGTCGGGTAGCTGCATGCATGCATGCCGGCTCGTGTTTGAAAGCCGAGCACGTCAAGTCGAACGCGTGCATGTGAGTGAGGTGGTGTCGCTGGCAACAGGGACTGGGCATCTCGTTATCCTTGGCGGCAGACTGTGCCCAGCCTGTTTTCCTGTTTCTGACTGGGTCGGGGCAACCCCCGGCTCTGCTTCTCTGAAGACTAATAAAGAGAGGGGGATTGATTGTGGGATGGTGAACCCACGTCATCACTGACTCGACGGAACCTTCTGATTTCTTTGAGCACAAGACTAGCGCGCTGCGCTCCGTTGGGTTGGCGGGTGTGATGGCGTCTGGCCCAAGCGAACCTTGCGCGTGACGGTGGCTCCGATAGTGCTCATCCCTCGGAGTGAGGGATGCCCTCTGGGCCGGGGTTGGAGCGGGTGCTGATGGCGCTATCTGGCTGGTGGGTGTCATGAGCTGGGAGAGCGAATGGGTGGCCCTCGAGCCCGTGCCATAGGACCATCCACGAGAGGGACATGAATTCAAAGGCGCCGTGGCTGCCGGTAGATACGACAAGTCATGTCGTGGTACTGTAGCAGTTGAGGCCGCTTGGTCATGGCGTGGGAAACGGGGTCTGGTCTCACCGGTCTTGCAGTAGCCCCCATAGCTCGACCCTCTTTCGGCATCCGATGCAGGTGATAGAGTGCTGAAGAGACAAGCAGCTTGCGAGCCTTGTTGGCATTGGGAAATGATCGCCTCGTCTTCTTCTTTGATCATCAGGGCCAGACTTCTCAAGCTCAAGATAAACATACAAACTTGGCGTGGTCCCTCGGCCGCAAGAAGAACTGGCATGCCTTGGAGAATTCAGGAACAGGGTCCTGAAAGACAGCTGCAGACGCACGCCTCGCCGAGAATGAGACCTTTCGACTTGTTGTCCATCAATTTAGTCTACTAGCAGCCGTCAGCAATCGTCTTCCTCACGACGAGACCGCCACCCATCTCGCCTACCTCAACTTTCGAATAAAAGATCGGTCTGCCACGAGGTTACTGGGGGCCTCAGGAACCTCATCCGTTGATTCCGAACCTACCAAAACCCCAGTCTGACCCCCAATCGAAGGGGCTCTAGTGTTTCCGGTAGCTGTCAAGAACACCACCTCGACCGGGGACAGGTATTGCGAGTGCCAACCGCTTCCCGCCCGACCCTAAAAACGCCCCAGCAACTTGCTACTGGTGTTTCGTGCTCTCTGGCGGAGCTTAGTTGCTCTCACCGACTTGCTGAACCGCTGTCCGCCCAGTCCAAGCCCAGCCACGCCCTACCAGGCGTTCGAACCCTGAGGCCGGGATATGACTCCATCGCCAGGGGTGGCTATCCATATTTAATCAAGCGAGTGGCCCAGTACCAAGGGATCGGGATCCCCACCAGTTGTCTCGTAGTCATTGACTGTCAACGACCGCGACGCCTGTCACGCCAAGCAAGCGACGACCAAACCGACTACTCCGGTATACACAGTTGGCTGTACTAGCAGAGGGGCCTTTGGTCAGCCGGCGGTTGATCTCACCGAGCAATCTTTTCCTTTGCATGATTGCTCTCGCCTCTACAATCTCCTCCGATATCCTTCAAGTCAAACGACCTCCGCTGTCACCATGAGTTCGGCTGTTCGACGGGCGTTTCGGCGCATCGAGGTTCCTCGCGAGACGGATGTTTCGACAACGGCCTACATGAATCACGATACCAGACCACTGCCACCATCTCGCCGTACGTATGGTCCTTGGCAGTTCGTGGGGCTCTGGGTCGTTACTGGATCCTTCAACATTGGCGGGTGGACCACCGGCTCTGCCCTGATCGCACTCGGACTCAACGTATGGCAAGCTATGCTTACGGTCATAATTGGCCACTGTCTTGTCGGCCTCATCTGCGTATTGACCGGCGCGCCGGGCGCAAAATGGCATATCGGTTTCTGCATCCTCCAAAAGTCGAGCTGGGGCATGTGGGGAGCCTTCATCCCAATGGTGCAGCGCATCATGCTCTCCTTCATCTGGTACTCGACCCAAGTCTACTGGGGAGGACAGTGTGTGCGGACCTTCATCTCCTCCATCTGGCCCTCTTTCAACAGGCTTGACAAGCCGCTGGCTGACGGCACTATGACGGTTGCCGACTTTACGGGCTTCATCATCTTCTCGCTGCTCTGTCTGCCTCTTATTTACATCCGTCCAGAGCGCTACCACATCCCATTTGCCATTGCCGCCCTTACAGTCATCCCCACCGTCGTGACCATTTTTATTTATTGCCTTGCGACCGTGGGCGACCTGGGCCCCATGGCCTCCGATATCACGGCAACCGCCGGTATCAAGCAGGCCACCGGTTCTCATCTCGGCTGGATGCTCTTGCTCGGTATCTGCACTAATATTTCCGGCATCGCCACCCATCTGTACAGTCAGTCCGACTATACGCGCTTTGCCCGCAAACCCCGCGACCAGATCCTCGCTCAGCTTCTCTTCGTGCCGACTAACACCATCTTCGTCGCCTTTGTCGGCATAGTCTGCACCTCGTGCGCCGCTGAACTCTTCCCCCACACCCGCGGCACCCTCGTCTGGGAACCGTACCGTTTCCTCGACGCCCTGCAGGTCCACCACAACGATTCGCCGCGCGCGCGCGCCGCCGTCGCTTTTGCCTCGCTGGCCTTCATCCTCGCGCAGTTCGGCATCGCCGTCGCGCAAAACGCCCTCTCCAACGGCATCGACC